TTGCATAATTATTTATATTTTGGATCATAATTTATGTAGGATTGTTGGTTAGCACTAGTTAAATAGTTGAAATATTTAGAAGTGTCTTTTTGGTAGCATGAAGGTAAGTAACTATTCTTTATCATGAAGGTAAAAAAAAATCTTTTCTTCTCACTATACTGATGTTACAGGGAATAAAAACCAAAACTTTTTTTATAACCAACATTAGAACTAGTGTCAGAGCACACATTCCATTAATTCATCTTAAGAAGGCAAGCAATAAAGGAAAAAACCCTTCATGGAATGAGCACATTTCATAAGTTCTTTTTTGGCTGACTTAAGTTGAATTTCCTTAACCCAATTTGTAGGAGTTTGTATTGCCAACTTCTATCAATTTTTTTATATGATATCATGGCTTTGAAAACTAAGTGAATGACTCCCAAGCAAAATCTATTGTGGTTGAGAATGCATTTGTGAAATGAAATTTTGTTTTGTTGAAAAAAATTTGATTCAAGAAAATAAGGTTTGACATGGAGCGCTACCATAAATAATGGTTTGTACATGTTAATGGTACAAATAACAATTTTTTCATATAGTAAAATAGATTGTCAATTATTGTGTGTTGGGTTTACTGTCATTCTTAGTTTAGGAGTATAATTCCCTCTAAAATAATAAGTGATAAATAAAACAATTCTTGAATCATTCATAATTTAATTTGCATTGCATTTTGCTTTGATTATCATGTCACTATAATACTAGAGTCGCTTGCTAAAATTTTAGTATCTTGCTTTGATTACACTCTTTTCATCCAAAGTAGATACTTTATGATCAGATACAAAGCACATTGTCATTAAAACAAGTGGAATGCACACAAGTAGCCACCAATTCATAAAAGTGAAGCCCATAATAGCTCATGTACCATTGTGTTCATCCCTTACTTCATAAACTACAATATATAATTTAGGATTTTGATTCTTTTTTTCAATTGGAAACTACTTAATATAATTCATGATCATTTGAACTCCAAATTAGCAAGCTTATAGTTAAACTAAACATCTCAAAAAAATAAATCCACAACATAAAAAGTTGTTATATTCATATTCATGTCAGTCTAAATTAGATATTTGATGTTTGTTACAACTTTAGGACATTGATTGAATGTCAAAATGTAAGATCTGAAAAACGTCCTTTCTCCCCCTCCTGAATCTCACTGATGTTTGATTGCGTAAGCCATGAATTTTTTTTTTATCCCTTTCCTTCTTTGTTTTCACTACTTATGCACCTTCTCGAATTGGGCTCTAGAAATCTTACGTGAATTCTTTCTTTTCTTCCTCCACCTCGCTGCCACCTTCTTATTTTGCTACCTCACCGACTCTTTTCTATTTTAAAAAGATTGCAATGATCCGACTTCACGACTCTCTCTTGCAGCCCTCTCCTCTCGTGGTTACAAATTACCCTCCCCTAGCTCATTGTCAAAACCCTTGCTGATGTCCTTCCCTCTCTCACTGTTTCACCCAAAACCACCACCTCAATGGTGGAAGACTTGTAATAAAATCCCGATTAGAGCTATCCGTGAAGGCAACAGTAGGATTGTGGCATATTGAGATCATTGATGCTCATAAATTTCTCCTCCTCTGAACCCCCGCGATACAGTCGCGATCTGAGCTAGCAGCAGGTAACAACAAAATCGTGGCATACATTGCCCACTGAAACCCCTCTTCTTCCTTTTGATGAAGGGTTGTAAACTTCCCCTTCCTCATTTATTCTTTTAATTCAATTCTTTTTTTCATGATTTACATACATACATACATACATACATACATAGAGAGCGAGAGAGAGTAATCTTTAATTATCTGATTATTATGCCAATCTAATTTAGAGATAACCTAAATTAGGTTTATACTTTCTTTTAAAAATATAATAATAATAATAATAATAATAATATATTTATTCCTTTACACTTAAAAAATAATTAATGTTTGATTGCTTAATTAATTATATTTTAGATCATAATTTATGTAGGATTGTTGGTCAGCACAAGTTAAATCGTTGAAATATTTAGAAGTGTCTTTTTGGCAGCATGAAGGTAAGTAACTATTCTTTATTATGAGATAAATGTTTCTTTCCTAGTTAGGGGTGTTAATCTTGTATTCATTGTATTTAATGATCCTTGAAATTCTATAAACATTTTTTCCTGAGCTCTAAGTATCTGGATTATTACTTCAAGGTCTTTATTGACTTTGTTGTATGTTGGCTCCGGCGCGATGTCGCTTGAAATGGGTGGTCCCAAACTATAGGATACGGGTGAATGTGGTTTGCCGTGAGTTTCATGATGTGTGAATTGCCTAATTGGACTGGATAGTCCTTCATCTAGATTGGCGAGCAGATGACACCCATCTTCTTTCAAATCCAAAAACTTACATAAACATACAATGAAATTTGGAATTACAACACATTCACAATTAAAGCTCCATTAACACAACGTGAAAAGCACAAGAAGAACACGAAGATAACATCAGAATAACACCCAATAAAATAAAAAGAGTGCACCCTGAATAACACCTAAATAACACAAAAAAACAGCTAAATAACACCAAAAAAACCTAAATAACACTTATATATCACGATCATACCAGCGTAACACCTACATGATCATACAAAAGTAACACAAGAAATAACAAAACTAGAGCAACACCTACCTAAAACACCTTAAAATAAGAGAAAAAACACCACCAAAACAACATAATAATAGGAAACATAACATCTAATTAATCACACCCCATCAAAATCTACAACAAAAATCTATTAGAAATACCACAAAAACACAACAAAAACACCACTATAACAACTAAATAATATCACAATAACACCTACATGATAGTACAATAGCACTAGCATACAACAAGAACACCACATAATATCACAAGAGCAACACAACTCTAATAACAAATAAATAAAACAGAAATTGAATTGCTCTAATTTTACAAAAAAGTGAATGTTAGCTATTGATATAAATGGCTTACCTGTACATGGGTGAGCCTCTTAAAGGTTATATGGATATGCGACGAGTTCCAGCTTACATTTTTGGGCCACCTCAACATTCGAGATCTAACCTCAAGAATGATAGACGTGACCAAAGATTTGTGCTCATAAAACCAGAGTTGTGTAAAAGATGTGCCATAATATGCTTTGAGCAAAACAAAAATTTTTTTATAAGGTTTATACAAGGAAATAACACTAAATGTTAGGAGAAAAAGAAAACCATCGATATATCCCAAAGGGCTATTCCGCCTTATTTTAATGGCTACTACATTAATTTGATCAATGAGTAAATCACATACAACAACATGCCAATTAAATGAGGAGAAGTTCCATACATTCTCCCCAAAGGTGTAAAGCCTTTTAGGAGCACTAAAATTATGAAAAGTAAAAAATAAATTTGATAACAAAAACTTCAAAAACAATTTCTTAAAAGACGTAGAACACTCCCTGGTTGAAACGTTCAATATAACATTCTTTATTTGTAGGTCATCTACAGCAGAAGCTAAAACTTTTTTTCCAATTTGTTGCTTCTCTTCTATTGGACATGCCTATCAACAAGGCGACTTCATCATGGAGTGTAAGGAGCTCTTTCATGCCCATTTTGAATACCATTCGTTCTTAGTCCCAACATTTCAGTATATGCAATGTCAAAACATTGTCTTAAGGTTACGGAGGGAGATAAAAAAAATTGATCTACATTCAATTCTTTCATGTTATTTCTGGTCTCCTCAGACAGGGCAGACCTGACCTTATCAAGAGCCTCTCTTACTACAGATGGACGACATTTAGAATTGTAGGATCGTGTGTTCATAAGCCTACACAAAAAGGATAATGCAAAAAATATAGTCATTTTGTAATCTATACATCAAAAACACGAATACATCAACAAAATTACACAGAGTAAAAAAATACCAACAAAATTGTTTTTTGATGTTATTAAGATGTTATTAAGGTGTTATTTATAGGTTGTTGAGTTGTTTAGGGTTAGGATTTTGGTGTTATCATGGTATTATTTTGGTATTATCATGATGTTATTTCGGTATTATTAATATGCTATTTTGGTTTTTTTTTGTTTTATATTTGTATCATTTTGGTATTATTTTGGCATTAGTTTGATATTATTTAACTAATACTATAGAGTTACTGTGATATCATTTTGATTTTATTTCAGTTTTTTATTTTTTGTTTTTTTGTTATTAACGTATTATCTTGGTGTGATTGAGTGATTTTGGTTTTTCTTTTAGTGATACATTTTATAATTTGAAATATGCATGAAAATACTCTATGATGCAATGCTAATAACAGTTATAATAGACTTTTGAATATAAGTACAAGCACAAACAAAATTACCTAAATGGCGTAGATTGACTCTTTAGCTGTCGGCCTTTCTTTTTCTTACACTTTTTCAATTTTCATCTTCTTACGCTCATTATTTTTCATCTTCTTAGGCTCTTGGAAATCCATCTTCTTAGGCTCCTCAGCATCGAATATATCCCTAGCATGTGATTCAGGCAATGAAAAGCCTAGACGATGGCGAATGAGGAAGAAGCAATGCTAGAATAGAATGAAGCCCTAAAAAATGACGAACGAGGAAGAAACAATGCTCAAATAGAAGAAAACCCCAAAATGTTCTCGAGTCCCGTTGGACGGTTTAGTTTTCGATGCAATGATCCTGACGTTTTAGCACAGACGTGTTTAATTTTCGGTCGCTTGGACGGAATTCGGGTCTGATCGTACAGTAAAAAAGACACTATTTTTCATTTATTAATCGATGAGAGTCGTGAGACCCGCAATGCCACATGACTATTTTTAATTGGCGTCCGGACATAAGTTTACGACCGATGTCCTGACCGAATAATTTCTCGAATGCTCAAACGAGCTTAAATTGAACAAAACTAATATTAATAGATTTTTTTTTTAGTTCAACTAAATTAAATATAATATTGAATCAATTTGAGCGGGACTATGCTGTAATTGGGAGCTGTTGTGGCCTTAGGAAATGGTGGATTGGCTGGCCCGCCTTATCCCTTCAACCATCTTCTGAAGAGAAGATTTCTCCATGATTTGCCCTTAGGAATAAGGCGACGTCTTTTGAGAAAAATTGCCTTGTTCCTGCATGGCGTTGCTCAAGAACTCTGCTGTAATTCACAAGAGCCTCTTCTTCAATTCCTCCGCTTCTTCTACTCAGGTATACATCTTTTCCCTTCGTTCTATTGATCCATAGTATTCAACAGTTTCTTTCATTCTCTGCCATTTGCGTGTTCTTTCAGATGATTTTACAATGCCCTCCATGCTTCACTGTGTACCATTATAGGAGGCGAAATCATTCTTCTCAGGCTAGGGCAGAGGCCTCTCCATCAACCGAAGAACACGGTAAAGATTATATTATCCGATTCTCTCTCACCACTTAGGGTAAAATGCTCGAGGTTAGTTGAGTTATTATAACTCGGAGCCATTGGAAAACAAAATTGAAGTATGATTAACTTGTTCGAATCAGCTGTACATGTTAGACAGGGATTCTTGTTTCATGTATCGAATGTAAATTGGATTTTGGTAACGCCAAATGCATCACAAACCAGTGTCATGAATCTTGAACTGATACTGTAGTTCCTAGCACTTACAGGGTTCGCATAAGCAATGGAAAGATTGAATGATGAGCAATGAATTATAAAATACGCTTCAAACGAAGTAGATTTTTGTTACTATAAGTAAGCAAAACCTTCATGGAGAAAGAATCACAATTTTTTATTTGTAACTTGTTCTTCATGGTCCTTAGTTATGTTAACCTACTTTGCATTTTTGGTTTTGGCAAATTTATTGTTAATTGATGCCCCATATGCACCAGAGCAATATAATCAAAATTTTGTTTTTGATATACATGCGAGCAATGTTCCAACTAGAAAGACATCTACACCAGATATGGGGCAACAAAAAAAAAAGAAAAAGAGAGGATATTTACTTATATACCGCCCAATTCGTATGTATTAACATTTCTACACACCAATTTTATTTTTTACATTGACACCACTCAATTTTTTCATATCATTGCAAAAACTCCACTATGTTAACTTTTAAAAAGTGAAATGCATGGTTAAGGTGGTATGAATGTAAAAAATTGATGTTTAGGTGTTAGATATGTAAATGCATAGAAATTGAGTGGAATGTATGTAAAGTTTCCAAAAAGAAGGGATAACGTTTGATAATATGGGTTCATTTGGTTGTCAGGTTGTTTCTTAGAGAGACCTGGGAGGCGCCAGGCACTTTCACTAGGAGCAATGGTTGCCTTATCACTTATCCAAGCCAATCCTGCATCTCGTGAGTACTTGCTGGTCATCTGAATATTATCAAAAACCATTTCAAGAAACATCAAAAACTTCTCGCCAATGCATCATATAGTGATTTTTTCATTGATGTTGGTTTTCCTAAATAAATCCAATTTATATGTTTCAGTTGCAGCAGAGGTCAAAAAAGGATTTCAATTTGTTTCAGATAAAAAGGATGGATACTCGTTCCTCTATCCTTTTGGATGGCAGGTATTTACCATTTTTAGTTCTATGAGATTTCATCACAATCTGAAAAATTGTTCTTTTAGCTACTCATGTTTAACTCTTATTGCATTGGCTGTGATGAAGAGGTACCAGTTGACAGCTATAATTTCTTATAGATATCAACTGCTCATCCCAGGAAGTTGTTGTCCAAGGTCAGGACAAGGTTTTTAAAGACGTTATTGAACCCTTAGAAAGTGTCAGCGTTAACATGATCCCAACTAGCAAACAAGATATTCGAGAGCTTGGATCTCCACAAGAGGTATGCATTGAAACATCTACTACTAAGCACCCTATTATTTTGTTTTTTTAAATGTATTTGGACAATAGTTTATGAATTGTCGATCTGTCATTACTTAACCATGCGATAATTCCATGAATAATTCTCTTTGCAAGGTTCGAAAGGGGAAATTACATGTAACTACAAGTATTTTACATCCACTTTCATATTCTTTGCCTTACAATTCTACACAGGAAATAGGTATGTATGTAATATTAAAGCATTCACACATAAATAATTGAATATTAAAGAAATTGATACTTCTCACTAATGAAATGAAAGGAAATAAATTACAAGTGAAATATCTTGGAAGATTTGAAAATCATTTAATAGGGAAATTATTATAGAAATAACCACTATCTGTCCCCAAAGTAAATATGTTATTTTTATTAGTGCTCCTCTTATAACGATTTAGTAATCAACTTAGTAGAATATGCAGTGATGATGAAGTATCAGTTGACTAGGCTAGGTATGGGTAATGCAATATGATTAATGATATGTCATGAGTGACAAACATGCTTGTGTAAATCACAGTTACATGATGTCAATATAATTGAATGAAATATCTTTATGCCATAAATTTATCATCCTTGGAAGTTTGTGAACATATCTTATGAATTAAAAGTAGTGATACATTTTTTCTACATTTCACTAATAATGATATTCAAGTGCATGCATAAGTCAACTAAGGTTTAGGCATGCATGTTATCTTTTCATATTTGAGGGAAACGAAAGGAGTCTTTATCAATTAATACTATCTTTCCATCAATGATATTCTATAACAGCATGCCAAATTCATACAATAACCCTAGTTCAATATAAAGGTCATCAACATTCTGCTAGAGTTAATTAACCACTATAAATAGACTCATCATTCATCATCTTGCTTATTGGCCCAATCAACCCTAGCAATGAAATCTCATTCGATAGGGTGTTATTGATGGTTTAATCTATGAAGTATAAGCATTTCAATATACATGTGATATAATGAATAACATGTAAAGGTTGCTTTGAATTATTGAATGTTTTGTTGTTAGATATGTACATACATAAAAATTGTGCTATGTATGTAAATGCCCCTTAAGATATTTAACATTTTTAAATTTTTACGCGTCAACATTAATATTTAGTCTTGTGAGCTACAGGGCTTGATCTAGTAACATTTTTATTATAGGTTGCTGAGGCTTTGATAAGACGGGTGCTAGCACCACCCTCACAGAAAACAAAGTTGTTGGAGGCATCAGAGGTTAATATTCTTTCTGGTATTTAATGCTCGAAGTTTGGCTGATATGGAAGTTTCTTAATGTTCTCCATGTTATTTCATTTGGTGATGCTTGAATATGCAAAATGCTTTATTTTATGAAAAGAAGTGCATCTAGAGGCACTTCTTTATGCTTCAGAAGCTATAGCTTAACAAAAAATTATTATGCTAATGGCAGGAGTATTCATTTCCTCCTTTCTTTATCTTGTAGACAATTTTTTTTTTGTTCTCTTCTTCATCGTACTTTTAAAAATTATGGTAATTCCTGTGCTTTAGCATATGTTCTTTACTTATTGGCTTACATGTGAGAAATGTGTTTTAAAATCTAGATTTTAAGTTAATTCTGGCCATGAAACTATAGACTTACTTTCAAGTTTGTTGCTTATCAGCACAGTCGAAGGTTAAGAGGGAGTGATTCTTTTCCCTTTTTAGATGGTCTAATGGAAGTAAATTTGCAACATTCATTATTATTTCTCAGCTGCATGTGTTAACTTTTTCTGTCAAAATCCGCTTTAAAGTGTAGTGATATCATTTCATTGGAACTACTTTTCCTTGAAAAAAAGATCAATTGCGCTATTTCGCCGCATTTTACCTTTTTTATTGCATGAAGGGCAAGCAACTTTGTTGCAGATGTTTTTTAACGTGATTTTATCTGACAATTCAATGTTCTTCTTTGGCTGGTCTACTTAAATTGAATTTGATTATGCGTTGTGCTAAGCCCTTTCAAGAACTTGTTTCTTGAGTATTTTCCATTGTGAAGTTTATGTAAGGACAGAGAACAAACGTAATTCCTTTCCTTTTCTGAATAATTGTGTATAAGCGTACCTAGTCTTTTCGGCTAATCAAGGGCAATATATTCCCTTTTAAGCTAATCAAATATCTACTTATTTTACATAAAAAACAATGTTAGCAGGCCCGGAGCAGTGATCAAGCTCTAGATTGCCTCGGGGTTCATGGATTTGAGTCATATGTTAATCTTTGTGGTGCAATGGTGAAGTTGTGCGTATCAACCCTTTCTCACCTTTTAATTGGCGGAAACATCGTACTTTGTGTGTGTTTTTGCTGAAATATAATTTTATGATCCTGATCCCCTTCTCAATCAAATATTAGGTAAGCATAAGTTCCATGTGTTTGTAGCTTTAGAATCTTATTGAGCAACTTCAAATTCTTTTCCATATTATGACCCATTCCTCAGTTTGTCTTCCAATGCAGTGATAGTTTTCCGTGCATTATTACCCCTCGAAACTTTGCAATGGAGGCAACTTATCCATTTCTGTAGTCCTACCCTCGCCTGTCTACTTATTTTTTTTCTTGTATTACAACTCTTTAGATTCTATTTCAGTCCACTTAAGAAATAAAGCTGACCAACCTTATTAGGTAAAATAAAAGAGATGCTGTAACATGCATCATCGATGGTCATTCCATTCGATAATTATTATGGGAAACCTATATGGTAAGTTATGCACATGAGCACTCCCAAACTATATACTCTAGTTGGCCCATCAGGTACACTATAGGAAAACTTGTGATTTGCAAAAAAACCCATCACAAAGTTGGTCGTAAACGCGAAGTTGCGATCAATTTGCTTGTCATAGCAACCGCCATTGTTTTATTTTCACAAATATTTTTGCAATTGTTACCATAAATATTTATATTATGCACAACAATTCTAGCTAGTATTTCATTTGAAAAAAAATATAAGAAAAACTTCCGATTAGTATAAAAAAACTATTTATCGTCATCATCAACTTGAATACTACCCACAGCAGTTTGGTGCTAGAACTCCTTCAGTATAGGTTGCACAAACTTCTAAATCTTCGGTTGTGTGACCAGTTTATTGTAGTACTCACACGCCCTAGATCTATGAGGTGGATGGGTACCAATTTCTCGCTTTGGAATGTTCTCCAAAACATGCATGCTTACCTTGGTCGATCTGCTTGGTGCTTTTATCCATGTATCAAGGTCAAACTCATGCATAGGTAAGGTGGCATGGATGTAAAAATTGATGCTTAGGTTTTAAATATGTAAATACATAGCAATTGAGTAGTTTATATGTAAATCTTCCTATTTTTTATTAGTTGCATTTGATAGAGCTGTGTTGACGCATCCGGAAGCCAGGAAATTTGATCAGAAATTATTTTAATCACCATCTCTATAAGATTCTTGGTAGATTTATTGTAGAGCCTTCCTCATTACTGGCGAGTTGAAGGTCCTCTATATCATTATTTCTTTGATATTTATAGATTGAATCTAAGACGGAGTATAAGAAACACCAACAAAAGCAGGGAGAGAAAGACAGAAAATCTCCACCATGTCCATAAATATCGGTTTTTATTTTATTTTATCTGTGAAGTGCTGCTATCTTTAAGAGACCTTTATTTGAGGGAGGCCGATGTCAGAGATTAGGGCTGAAAACCATTTTTCATTATGATCAGTGCATTTATGCACACTTTACAATAAGTTATTGTTAGCACTCCCCGTCAAGATTGTTTAGATATCAGCCATGCCCATTTTGTAGAATTGTGAAGTAAAATCTTTGAGGAACCCTTAGTGCAAATATAAACTGATGGTATTTGATAAAATAAGAAGTATGTAAACAACGTGATCTTGAACTCTTATTGAAAGGTGCCTGATAGTTGACTTAAATGTCAGATTGTTTTGTTCTTACTCAACAAGATTGTGTCTTCTTCTTCATGTTGATTTTATGCACCCAAAAATATAACTCGTGGAACAACCTATATTCTCACCCATCGAGATATTGTCGGGTTTGGCCTGATGGCTTCATGGTTTTGTCATGTTAGTGTAACTTCCCAAGTGGTCACCTATCTCAGGAGTGCTCCAATGCAAGCATACTCAACTTTGGAGTTTCGATCAACTTTGGAGTTTCTATCGAAACCCTAACCGTTATATTAAAAGGTGCCTCAATGTTTAAGAGTTTACCTTCATTCTGCTTAAGTGATTTTACAATCTCCCCTATCTAAGTAGTTGACGTCCTTGTTAGTGCTATTAGCCAAAAATCATCGATCAGGCAGGTAGAATTCAAGAGGTGGCTCCTTCTGATTGAAGAGGGGCTCCTAAACTGTAGCATTTTGTCCCATCTATGGTTCAAGGGTTGGTTCTCATGATGTAGCATTTCGTTTTGTATGACACTTAGTTTTTATCTTCAGACTGATTTAATGTTCTGATATCATAACTCTCACTCATAGAACTATTGTCCACTTTGGCATGATGGTCTCATGGTTGTTCCATTGGTGTAACTTCTCAAGAGGGCACTTGTGGGCTCCAAAACTTCGAAAAGGCATCCCAAACTCTCTTCGAGAGCCTAACACGGTGTGTATGTTAAGTTTTCGGGCAGAATTTTTTAGAAGACAGATGATATAGTAGATAAGACACTACCCAAAGATTTCATCCTCATTTGGCTAGAATTTTAAGATCTGAGGTTCGAGGTTTCTCATAGGTGTAAGCCCCCATAGTTGATTACGCCTCCATATAACAAGATGCCATTTTCGATTAAAACCTGTCATTAGACGCTATGTATTCGGACTTAACATATAATAACAACAAATTAGAGAATTTAAATAATAAAATTATCGCCGTAAGCTCAAAGCAGATGGTGGTGGAAACGGCGATGAACCCAATCAAGATCCCATGTTTCAGTTTTCCCGGGTCTACTTAGTCAGCGGAAGTAGTCGACCCAACCTGACCAAATGATCCTTGTCAGCAGCCATGGGTTGCTTCGTCCAAGGGAACTTTGTAAACCTGGGGTGAATGTTTGTCTACGGGGACTAATCTAAGTCGATCTTAGCTTACAGAGGGTTTTCTGCTCTATCAAATACGCCATATGGTTTAACACTCAAAATGACAGATTGTCATTTGGGAACATACGAGCTACGGTCATGACCAAAATATAATTGTTTCATTTAGCAACAAACCACCCGGTCAGAGAGCTTTGATCATTACCGTTTCTTTTTGGTGTCATTTGGTGGCAATACCATGTGCACAGAGGAGTCCGACCACGTCTTTACTGACATAAAGTTATTTTGAGTTTGAATTTAGTAGTATATTTGATATGACATTGGTTTTTTTTGAGCTTGAATCAATACTATGTTTGTCAACCTCGGCAAACGGATGTGAAGGGCGGATGGATTTTGCTTCAGCTTTTTAGTGATAGATTTTTCATTTAATTATTTTATAGACTTGTGGTTTGAAATTTTAGCTTTTATAAATAGATCACCTTCAGTGAGGTGTACAATGAGTATACTTATTATCGAGGATTTATGTCTTTGAACCCTGTCGACTCCATCTCGCTCACAGAGGCTCGGGTTCATTTATTATTTGAATTTTAAAGATGGACTTTTAGATTTGATTTTGAAAATAGACCACTCATGTTGAGATTTACTATCAACACGACCATTAATCAGAAATTTATGTCTTAACCCTGTCGATTTTGCCTTGCTCACAGAGGATCAGGTTGATATATGTATATGTATATCTTTTGAAACAAAATTTTGAACCCGTCGATTGAGATTTATTATCAATATGACCATCATCAGGGAGTAATTATTTTTGAACCTTGTTATGGTATATGAACCATACCATAACAAGATCAGAGAGCACTCATCTTGGGGTGGGCTTACTACTTAGATGCTTTCAGCAGTTATTCGCTCCGTACTTGGCTACCCAGCGTTTACCGTAGGCACGATAACTGGTACACCAGAGGTGTGTCCTTCCCGGTCCTCTCGTACTAGGGAAAGGTCCTCTCAATGCTCTAATGCCCGCACCGGATATGGACCGAACTGTCTCAAGACGTTCTGAACCCAGCTCACGTACCGCTTTAATGGGCAAACAACCCCACCCTTGGAACATACTACAACCCCAGGTGGCGAAGAGCCGACATCGAGGTGCCACCAGTTTTCTATTTTTTTTTACGACACGCTCTTTTTTCCATTTGTTACCTTTTAGGATCAGTCACGGTCTTATAAACT